CGCGGCTGTCGCCCGGGACGCGCCCCGCGCACCCCAGCCCTGAAGTCCCCCCGCACAACTTGGGACCCGTGGAGGACGATTCCGGACCGGGCGACTAGAGGCGGGGACATAGAATACCAACCGGGCACGGAAGACAGACAGCCGCTTTTTTCCCCCCCAGTGAAGTGGCGGCGGCGGCGGCGGCGGCACCACTAGGCTCCTTCGCGCAGCCCCACTCGGCTCCCCGGAGCGCCGCACCTCGCCCCCGGCCGGCCCACTCAACTCCCCGGCCTCGCCGGGCCACCACCCTGCCCCGCCCGCACGTTCAGGCCCCGGAGCTTCCCGTGTCCTGATTGGGTGCGCTACGGAGAGTGGGCGGGGCTACCGCGAGCGGATCGCGAGCGGGCGGGCGGGGGCGGAAGAGGAGCGCTGCGCCTCGCCAGCTTTGTGACGTCATGGGGGTCAGACAATCTTTTCCATTGAGCGCAGGCCGCCCATTGGCTCCCCGAGCCCGCCCACGTGACTTCGTCCAGTTAGCGGGTGAAGGTGGGTCCGAGCGGTGCCTGGGCTTTGATGTGACCCGGGCTGCGAAGGCGTTGGTTGTATTGGCGGCTGGCCAGGGGAGGATGAAGCGCCTAGGCTGGTCCCAGAATTTTTGCGCGCGTAGGAACCTAGGGGCGGGCTACTCCCCTGCCTAGTTGGCGTCTGCGGATGCTTGGCACCTCGGCGGGCACAGCGTGGTGTACCAGGCAGCTCCGAGGGGCCCAGCCGCCCCCGCGCCTCGCCGCCTAGGTATGTGCAGACTACGCCAGGCTGGACCTGGGGAGGGACTGACTGACCACCGACAGGAAACTGAGTTCCCTGCCGTTAGAGAATTCCAAATGTATTTTCTTCATTCATTCGTGAGCAAGTCGCAGATTATAGGAGCAGGTCCCAGAAAAAGAAAGTTTGGTGAGGAAGTGTGTGGTGACGTTCTCCGACGGACTTTGAAATCGCTGCTTTCCCCTTTGTCCTGGCAGCCTTGCACAAGCGAGAAGGGCCCCTGGACTTGGTGTCAGAACGCTTCCCATCAATCTCAGTAATGTGATTCATTTCCCATCTTTAAGGTTCAGTTTCCACGACTGTGAGATAGTTAGGCTTAGGGCGGCAGTGGAAGTCACCGAGAACTCTGCCCTCCACCCACATATGCTTCCTCGTTATGAGATTAAGGTTTCTGCACTTATCTGCATCCACAGGTCCCCAAGTGGAAGCATCTTCCTTGTTCCTTTATGGAACAAACACTCTTAAAACTTCCTTGGAGATGGTAATCAGGTAGATTACTTATCTGGATAAGCTTGATAGGAGTTAACCTTGATTATGTTTCTGCTTATTAGCTAATAGAGTTTAAAAAGTGATGTGGGCTAGATAAAAAAAAACGCTCATTTAGGGCTGGGAAGGTGGCTCAGTGGTAGAGTGCTTGCTTCACATGCATGAGGCCCTGGGTTCGATTCCTCAGCACCACATAAGCAGAAAATGTCAGAAGTGGCACTGTGGCTCAAGTGGTAGAGCACTAGCCTTGAGCTGAAGAGCTGAGGGACAGCACCCAGGCCGAGTCCAGGCCCCACAACCGACCAAAAACAAACAAACAAAAAACACTCATTTATTAAGCTAGGTGCCAGTGGCTCACGCCTGTAATCTTAGCTACTCAGGAGGCTGAGATCTGAGAATCATGGTTCAAAGCCAGCCCAGGAGAGCTAGCTTCCCTGCCAAAAAAAGCAAGAAGTGGAGCTGTGGCTCAAATGGTAGAGTGCTAGCCTTGAGCAAAAAACGTTCTGGGACAGCTCCTAGTCCCTGAGTTCAAGCCTCAGGACCGGCACCAAAACAAACAAACAAAAAACCCAAATCTAGTCATATTGACACTACTGTGAATTTTTATTCTGACTCTTGATTTTCATGATATAAAGGAAGAACTTGATATCCCCACACTGATTATACATAACTTCTAGATCTTCCAGGCTACCTCCTCTGTTTTCTAAATGAAGAGAAGTGTTTCTTTTCCCATTCCCAGGGAACTCTTGTAGCTAGCCTAATGACTTTCATCCTCAATTGTATGGGTTCCTCTGTTTCACTTCAACTCCTTCTTTCCTGCTTCTCATAAATTGGCAAGTGCTTTTTATTTTCCTTCACTTTCTGTTATCTCACACATCTGGTTTTTTCTTGTTTCATGGAGGAAGCATAAGATGGTGTATCACAGAGATTAAGAGCCAAGCTGAACTCAAGCTGGCTGGGTTGCAGTCTGCTGTCCATCAGCTCTCTCATATGTAAGATAGGAATAAAAACTAATTCAGGGCTGTATTAAGGGAGTTGCTAAGAAAGGTAGTTAAGTGTTAATAAATTACTAAGAAAAAAGTAAATACTTTGTATTAGCTATTATTGTTTGAAATGGGTCAGGCCAGTGTTTTAGATTGTTTGTCTTGTTTCATAGGAAAGCATGAGGCAGGTCCCTAAGTGCAATGTGTGTGGGGGGGGGAGAGGGTCGTGGGGCCTGAACTCGGCCTGGGCGCTGTCCCTCAGCTCTTCGGCTCAAGGCTAGTGCTCACCACTTGAGCCACAGCACCAGTTCTGGCATTTTCTGCTTATGTGGTGCTAAGGAATCAAACCCAGGGCCTCATGCATGCTAGCAAGCACTCTACCACTGAGCCACCTTCCCAGCCCGCTAAGTGCAATATATTTTATATGCAATATATTTTATGTGCAATATATTAAGTGCAATATATTTTCGATGCTAATGTTACTAATAGAATGGAGAGTCTAAGAATGTTAGGCTATTAATTTACATGAGGCGTGTCACCTCCTAGCTCCAGTTTTGCCATCATAGAGACCAGTTAACTGAAGCTAAGAGTAAATTATTAGTTTCTACCTGAGGACCCTGAAAAATGTAATAGATTTCTCTGTTGTCTTTAGTCTACCAACATTCTCTTAATGGTTATGAATAATAAACTTCAAAATTTCTACATTCATAATAAATGACCTCTTGAAAGTTGTTATATTAGTGGGTGCCAGTGGCTCACACTTATGATTCTAGCTACTTAGAAGCTGAGATAGGATGATCATGGTTCTAAGCCAATCTAGGCAGAACAATCTGTGAGACTCTTATCTCCAGTTAGGTTCAAATGGTAGAGAATTATTAGCCTTGAGTGAAAAAGCCAAGGGTAAGTGCGAGGCCCTGAATTCAAGCCCCAGTAGTGGCACAAAAAATATTTTTAAAAGACAGTTGTTACTTTTAAAATATTTTAAAAAGTTGTTAGTAGCATATACTCAAGCCCCTGTGACATACTGACAATGCCCTTAGAGTTTTTCTTTTCTTTTTTTGATGACACGAACCCAGAGCATTGGTAAGCACTTTTATACCCTGAGCCACACCCTAACCCTTTTTGCTTTAGTAGTTCTTTAGATAGGGTCTGTCTCAGATCATGATTTTCTTACTTCTGCTGCTTGTATAGCTGGTCCTCACAGCACTTTTAATTACTTTCAGATCTCCACAGGACATTCTAAATTGTCCTTACTATAACCAAAACGTTATTGTTGTTGTTGTTTTATACCAGAAAAGCCTTGCATTTCCCGTCTTATTCTTCTCGCTTCTGAATGATCTGGGTATTTCTGAAAAATATCCAGGCTGAAAAACACTGGTATTTGTCACCACTAAATATAGTCAAAGGATTTGTCATCAAGATTCAATGTCAAGGTATTTCTGGAATCAGAATAAAGCCTCCCCAAAGAGGTAACTTTGAAGTAATCTTGTTTAGGGGTGTAAGTTCTGCTCTTTAGTTGCAGTTACATGATTCAATGATATTCATATTAGAAATAAGGTGCCAGCTCACCAGCAGAGGAACCAACTTCTGGTACACTGGAGAAAGTTCTTTAGTTCCCAACCTTGATTCCCTTCCAGCTAGGCCTTGGTCCTGTTGCCAGAAGGACCTGTACTTCAAAAGTGTAGTCATCACATAGTCACGTGGCCACCGCCAGGGAGGGACCTGCGGCTTGCGGCTGTGCTGCAGACTTTCTTATAAGAATACTTAGTGGAAGGTGTTGAGAAGTAGCACTGAAATAAAATTATTAGAGAAAGGCAAGAAAAAAATGTCTTCCAAAATAGTATACACCATAGGTGCTCAGTAATGAATAAATGAACTCATTTTAAATGAAGAACTAAGTGTGAATGCTTTGAGACTATTTCATGAATAAATGAATGAATATGTCAGCTTTTATTCCATTCTTTAAGTTTTCAAATAGTGTATGTCAGAGTTGTATTGAACTAATTAAAGGTGAAACGTGTAAAAAAACTTTCATACTTTTGAAGCTAAACTGTATCTTTATAATTGCAAGATTTCCACTAATGCTTATTGGGTGGTAATCAGAGATGCATTTTTGTATAGCTAGGTTCATCACCAGTGAGCAGCAGCCATTCTTGTCCCGACACTGCAGAATTCAGGTTATGGTTAGAACCAATTGTGGTTTATAATGGCTTATTTCCCTTGGAAAGAAGATGATATAAATCTTTTTAGATGACTACCTAATGTTTTCAGTCTGTATCCTATTGATAAATGGTACAAAATGGACAATGGGATCTACTAAATGCCAAAGTTAGTGTTCAATTCAAAATGCTACTTTTGTTTTTAGGCAGTATTAACTGGAGAAAGCAAAGTTCAAGGAAGTAAAGAAGAAAGCAAATTAAAGAGGGATGTCAAAAATAGCTATTGGAGTATAGTCTAGTTTCTCACAGGAAAATGGACTCAGTAAAATCAGAATATTTATAGAATTATTTGAGTACAGTATCATGATTGTGATTTTTAACCCTTAGAGTATCTTGGTTTTGTGACATATGAGTTGATAACACAAAGACTTGAAATCAGATCCTGGCTCTCAATCTTACTAGTGGATAATCTTTCAAATATTACTTAATGACTTTATTTTTTTCAATCTGAGGTACATTGTAACAGTTGGGGATACCATAAATGAAATGCCGAGTGATGGCTGGCAAATAATAATACCTCGTGTTAGGTAAGTTAATTTGCTGCTGCAAACTAATGGTTTGAGACAACACCTTCTGGCCTTAATTCTTCTCCATATTTGACAGGAGTCTGAACAGGCTACTATGAAGCATCAGCAGGGCTGTGGGTCTTTTGGATTCAGTAGAGGAGAATGTTGTGGAGGGGGGGGGGGTTGGTAGTTTTCAAAAACTGCCATTTCTTCTTTTAAAAAAAATCATCAGTTTATTTTT